CGAAGGAGAAACTTGACCCAAACTCCACATGGGGCCGATGTACCAAGATGTTACACTCCCTCGTTGGACAGTAAACGTAAAATGTACAAGCGAAAGTATTAGATGAAAGAATTGGTTTTTTCGAGAGGTTCACTTAAAATAAAAAAACTAGTCAAGAAAAATATTACTCAGAGAGTAAGAGCTGTATAGAAGCAAAAAAGACGCAAATGCTTAATATTTTATAAATTAAGGAGACTTTTACACCTATGGAGACCGATTGCGTTTTTTGAGAAGTAAAAAGTTTTAGACAACAGGCCTTAAACTTTGAAGAGAAAACTTACCATTTTTTTGTCCGGTAGATTTATTATTTAAAAAAGTGAATCGGCGGGTCGGTACTCATTTGTTTTTGCAGAAGGATAAACAAGTTTTCGAAGTGAGAAAATCTAAGACTTGAGAAATCTAAGTCTCAAAAAGAGGAACTGGAAAAAACACTAAGTCACATGCTTTGTAAACACATTTGGAGGCAGTTGGAGAGAAGAGAGATGAGCACGGCACTTGAAAAAACACAATAGAATTTTCATAAAGCTCCGAGCTTTTATAATAAATCCAGCAAGTTTGTTGCTATGCCTCGTAGCCAAAACAAAACACGTGGTGGAAGAATGACGCAATATTCGACCAATCCATGCTCGCGAAAATGACGTAATCTTCTTCCAATAAAATGAAAATGGGTCAATGCTGTAATATTCAACCAATCCATGCTCGCGAAAATGACGTAACATTCTTCCAATGAAATAAACGGGGAAAATGCGCTTGAGCGAAAAACATTGATGGGGTGAAATAATGGAACGATTAAAGTAATTATGAGGAAGTTCATGAAGGGTGTTGTAGGATGAAGGAATGCGCGTTGCGTGCACAACACAAATTAGGTCGGTGCATTATGCAAAAAAACCGCGCGAAAGAAATTAATTTATTGTCGGTCACCGAGTTTCACTGTCTTGTGTGTTGTGAGAACAGATCAATACGGAACAAAACGTCAGAAAACGTTATGGAACCTGTGAGTTCAGTTTTGGGTGGCTTGTCACTCCTAGTTTATAGAAAGTTTGGTCTCGTAGTTGGGGAGTGAGCTTTCAGCAGTAAATGTGTCTGAAAAAAGATCCAAAGTGAAGCCGTTCATATCTGATGTAAAACGAGTCTAAAAATTCGAACGATCCGAACTGGACCGTTTTTAGGGGGGTTCCTGTATAGGATAAAAATGGAGCGGTTCCTATGCTGTAATGTAAGAACGATCCAAACTTCCCCTGCTCCTGTATATTATATCTACTGTCGAAACGTTTCAGGTTGTTCATTGTTATATATTGTGCCGTGCTAAGGATGAACGCCGCATAAGCTTTCAGACATTGCCAAACTTCCTTTGTTAAACTACGAATTTCAAGGGAATCCTGTGTGCGATTTTCCTCCAATTTGTCAGAGGATCTTCTTCGCTTTTAGATTTGAATTATCTAGAAGTTGCAAGAAAAAATATTCATAACTCTCCTCGAGAATGAGCATTTTATCACAGGAAATTTGAAACCTCTCGAATATACATACGGCGTTCTTTCTTAGTGCGGCATTATCAGCCTTGTTTCCCGTTTTTCCTCTTGTTTCCAGCTTGTCACCGTTATCTCGGGCTACTTCGTAAAAATCTGTACCTACTTTACCCACCTATATGTCTGACTCTTCGCCGATTTCCCGATAAGAATCAAAAATAAAAATCTAGAACCAAAATCGATAGTAATGATAAATAAAAACGAGTGAAATTATTCGCGATTTTCTTTCATATTCAGTGCTTATTTTCGCAGAGCAAAAAAATGAGACACAGTCATAAAAGAGCAAAGGAGGAGATTTAATTAAAATATGGGTAAACAAGGGTAAAAATTATTAAAAAACTAAAAGGCAGGACGTTTTGATCTGCTACCAGCTCATTTTCAGCTGCAAAAACACATAAAAACAAGTAAAAAATTGAGTGGTGACCTGACCCCAGCCGTTATCACGAAACCACTCTTTTTTTTGAATGGTTACGTGGTAACGGCTGAGGTCAGGTCGCCACTCAATTTTTTACCTGTTTTTATTTGCTTTTGCAGCTGAAAATGAGCTGGTAGCAGCTCGAAAAGTCCTGCCTTTTAGTTTTTCAATAATTTTTAGCCCTCTTTACCCATATTTTAATTAAATCTCCTTCTTTATTCGTATATTCGGGCTATGTTTTTGTGCTTTATCGTCATAGGAGAGCAGCGCAGGACAAGAAAAGCGCAGAGTAATAAATAGAGTGTAATGAAGGAAAAGGAAGCATGGCGAAGATTACTCACGTATGAGATAGGATTAATGACAGAATGAAACTGGGTCAGTGTATCACTGTATCAGTAATGGCTCCGAGAACCCGGTATGCTTCAATCCTATTTCCACTCCGGGTTTTGCATCGGAGCAAGAACGCTTAGGAGACGAGGAGGGTTACACAATTGCTCGGAATAAAGGAGGGGGGGGGTGATCAAGAGGCGGTGCAAGATGCAAAAATTATACAAGAGAGGTAAGTGCAGTGTTGTCTGGCTAGCATACACAATGGCAACATTCGCCCGCTTTTATTGCTTTCGGGAGGTACGACACAAAATGGAAAATTTGGAAACAAGTTACATTTTAATTTCTATCATTTTATGGGTCAAGGGGAGGGGTCAATGGGACGCATCAATCAGTATATTCGAAGCTTAAAGAGAGTATATTTTGTCGTTTAGCACAGCTGAAAGTTCGGTCTCCTCTTAATTTTGCATGTAGTTCAATGATTGGACGAATTCATAAGCAACGATTGAATCAGCTGAATTTACATCGGACGTTGCTTCATTTCTTCTTGTGTTTAATTATTTTATCTAAAAATTAACTGGAATTCTGAATTGAGATTTTTTAAGTATACCTTTCATTGTCTGAAGAAAACTCTGGCGAAGTTTCAAGACTGTATAGATTTATGAATTTGGCAGGTCCAGAGCTTGTCCAGTGTCCCATTACCAATGCGTTGGGGGACTTCGAAACCGCCAGATTCGGACTCATGGGGTCGATAACTCCTGAAAACACCCTTTTTGGGGGGCCACTGCGTCAAATTAAGTGATCGATTTGGGACAAAATTGACCGCAATTTCTCATTCTGATCAAACAATGGACCACTAGACAAGGTACGAATTTAAGCGATCTGATACATGTTTCTTAACCAGAATTTCACGTAGAAAACGATTCACACAACGAAAATTACTGAAACCAACTCCTAACGGAGATATTAACGTTTTTATTTCACATTGGTTACGAGGAATTTGAACTGCCCGCTCACAAGAAACTCAAAGCTCTACATAAGTCAAATCGCCCACTACAACGGTTTCAGCAAGCTTCTCAATCGAGCAATGTTCATTTCCCACCATGTGTTGTTCAAACTATTAGCAATTTGCTATAACTGAGCCAAAGCGTTAAGATTGAGGTTGCCAGATTTTTATATCGCAAAGACTGTCATGATAACGTTTAGCGCGCGATGTGAATCACGTAGAGCATTGAGTTTTCATGAGCGGGTGGTTTGAATTGACGCATCAAGAATCATTAAATATCTTCGTCGGGAGTTAATTTCGGTAATTTTCGTTGTGTGCATCGTGTTTTACGTAAAATTTTGGTTGAGAAACGTGTATCAGAATGCTGAAATTCGTACCTTATCTAATGGTCCATTGGATAAATTGGGGACCAAGTAAAAGCACCGGGAGGGGGATTGGGGATGATTCTTTAAGGTCAATAATGTATTAGATTCCCAGTTTTCCGACATTGTCCGACCAAAATGACTGAGAAAAACACCATATGTATTTGGGTAGTTTGAGACACCCTGTAGAGACCGGCACTGCTATCTTCCCTTCAGTGTAAAAATGCGACGCACGCGTCAACGCTCAGAGTCGCCTTAGGATGAATGGTGACCTAAGAGTTGCCATTGGTTTAGCAACCCTAACCTGATTTGCAAAACTTCACCCGTTAAAAAGCTCACCCCGACATTCATTAGTCATCATTTGACTTTCATGCTCAACAAATTGCTTATCAATCATTATTAGGCGAAAAAGATTGTTGACCTCCGAACTTCACTTTTGCTTCGCCCGATTAAATTGCTTAGATTGTTACTAAGAAATCTCTGGAATATATTTTCTCTGCTTCAACCGGCCAAAATATTGATTGTGACAGTAAATAATTAATATTAATTAGAATCAAGGTTCCACGGTTAACAACGTCCACGTGTATAGTATTCGAAGCAACTCAACAGGAATGATCAACCAGATGCGGTTCACACTGTAGATGGAAGTGTCCGCTCAAATGAAGAGTGCGACAAATTGACGACTCTATCGCAAAGCTGCCTTTTATGACAAACTGACATTCTTGTCATACTCTTGCGTTTTGCAGCCAGAATATAGATACTCCGGTGATATTATGGCAGAGCTTTTTGGATCATCGTGTAATTCTAAACGGGCTAATTTTTGAATGATCTGGATAGAGGCGTGATTAAATTATTTCATTTTATTTTTTATCATTAGGCTCAGTTTTAGGAGTTGAGTTACCAGGGTAGCACTGGGAAATATTTTTAAAACCCATATTCTTAAATTAAAACTAAAATCTCACCGATTAAAAATTATTACGATGAGGTAAAATTTCTTTTACATGTAATGGAAAACTTTCTTGAAGTGAAATAGATTTTTTTTTCATAGTCATGTCAGTATTTTTCAATTCAATGAAACGTTACCATCTTATCGATGAAAAATTTAATTTTCTTTTAAGATGAAAAAAGGAAAAAACTTAGTTTACTGAAGAAAAGTTGCGTATTTCAAAAAAATTTCATTCAGATTAAAAAATTCTAAACCCCCAAAAAAGTACTTTAAACCGCAGAGCATTTTGTTTTAGTTCAAGAAATGTTATTGAGTCGTTTTTTCAATGTATGCAAAGAAGGATCTTTTAAAATCAGACACATAAAAAAATTACACGGAATTTGTTGAAAAAATAATTTAATAATTTAGTTATAAAAACGGACGAGGAACTTCATTTTGGTAACATCATTTAACACCTGATAACAACTTCGATACGGGAATAAATACACAGTGGGATTGACTGCGAGAAGACTTACTAACCTACATAAGAGACGGACTGGTACCTAGGGTAAGCGGCGTAGGCAACAGGTGGATGAACGGCGGTAACAACCGGCGCATGGACAGCGCTGACGACCGGTGTGCGAACGGCTGCTACAACCGGTGCGGCGGCGACAGTGCTGACAACGGGCGATCGGACAGCTGTGACGACCGGAGCATGGACCGTGCTGACGACAGGAGCGCGGACTGCAGCGACGACCGGGGCATGGACGGCAGCAGGAACAACAGCCGGTGCGTGGTACGTGGTGAGGGGTGCGTGGTAGGCGGTGACAGCCGGTGCGTGGAGGGTGGTCACTGCAGGTCGGACAGCAACGGCAGGTCGGTAGAAGGTCGGGATGCTGGAGGCGTAGGGTGCATACTTGTAGACGGATGCTGGGGGCAGGTTAGCGGGGAGGTCAGCGTGCTCGTCGTTGAAGACGTTGGTGTAGTCTACGGTTCGGGTGAAGCCATCAGGGCCGACGACGCTGAATCTCTTGTCGCCGAGACCGAGGGGCTTCTGGTTGTAGAATCCGCCCCCGAAGGAGAAGGAGTTGGAGTCGAAAGACGGGAAGGAGGGGAAGGAGTTGCTTTGGGGTTGGCTCGGGGAGTTCTGACCGAACGACTGGCCGCCCTGGGGACTCGGGGACTGATCTTGTTGCTGCGGGGACTGGTTGTCGTCTTGCTTCTCGTCTGACTCACCGCCGAAGTTGGGCTGCTCTTGCTGCTGGAATGGCTGTTGCTGCTGTTGGAATTGCGGGAATGAGTTGAATTGCGGTGGTTGGAATTGTTGCGTCTGTTGTGGTTGGAACGATTGTGGTGGCTGGAATGACGCCTGCTGCTGCTGCTGTTGTGGCTGTTGAGGCTGAGGCTGGTATTGCTGTTGCTGATCAAAGTTTTGCTGCTGGCCTTGTTGGAATTGGTTGGCGCCCTGGTTTTGGCAGGCGACCACGGCGCAGAGGGCCAGGGAAAGGACAATCTGTCACAAAAAAAAATAATTTGTAAATACACAGTGCGGAGGTGGTGAGGAAGATCTATATTATTGCTCGGAAAAAGTGGTTTTTTGAAGGGATGGGCAAGGGGAGCAGACTGCAGAGGGTTTCTGTGCAAAACATACGCACATTATTCGTATGATACCTGTGTATCTGTTGGTGAATGGATCATAGAAAGAATTGATATTTTGAGGAAATGCAAAAGTCATTCTGTAAATACGAAACTTTCTTGATTTTTTATGGCCTAATGCGTCTGGCTAATTGAAAAAAAAAGTTATTTGCATTTAGAAGGACCTGCTTAAAAATGGTTCTGATCCAAGCTTCAAATAGAATTTCACATACATTACAGATTTATGAATGTTTTTTATTGGGGAGATTGAAAAATAATTACAGATTTTTATTAAAAAAAAGGTAAATTAAATCAAATCGAGATTACTCATTTCTCATTACTCTATGGGATACTGAAATAGAGCCCGTTTCAGATTACTTGTCCAGTTACTTCCTTTACTTTTCTGGGCTCTACCTAGCCGATTCCATGCCTCCGAAAAAATAGACACTCCGACATGAATGGAAAAAAATCCGTCGCTCCTCTGACGCAAGGGCAAATCTCGATTACCGCATGAGCCCAAGAAAGCACAGATTCATATGTAAAACAGGGCTCACGTCCAAACTGAGATACGCTTTTACGCCAGAGGCTCGACAAAATATACTATGCAAGCCGAGTCGTAACGGATCCGTAACAGGAGCGGAATGAAAAAGAACACAAGCGGCAGTTACGGGACGACGGAGGATAATCATTAATAGACACGAGCGACACGGGTAGAAAGTAGTGGAACAGGTTTCGCGATACAGAGCTCATGTGCGTACCTGTACTAATAATACAATTAAGTAAAATCATAAATATTTCAGTGAAATGAAACCTCGCCACTCCGCGCCGCATAGCACGGCGGCCCTTGCGCGCGCCTTACGCCTTACGGACGCGTCATAACGAGCCGCCGCGCGTCACACCGCGCCGGGACGAATGTAATCGGTGCGTTGTCAAATGGCGCGCGACTCTTTGGTAAAAAAGCGCGATAATCGGACGGCAAAGTTAATCATGCAAATATGAGAGAAAAATTAAGGATTTTAGAATAAAAGCCTCGAAAAATTAGGGAAACTGGTGTTGAGAATGAAGACTAAGGGAGTCCAGAAACTGTTCAACAGAAAGTACTTAATGATATAGGGCTGTCCGTAAATTACGTAATGCTCCAAGGGGGGGGGGAGGGTGTCAAGAAGAGTTTTTATACGGTGGCGTGGCGTGCTTTGCGATATATCGATTGATACGCCACTCAAACCTGTGAAAAAATATCGATTATCAGGGTGTTCGCAGCGAACACCTTAGTAATCGATTCTTTACCATAGCTTCAAATGGCAAGATTTCGATAATCGATTATTCACGCCACGCCACTGGTTTTTAAGTGTTAACGGCTAGAGACTGACGTCACAAAAACGTTGCATGGGGAGGGAGGGTTAAAAATGCGAAAAAGTGCGTTACGTACTTTAAGGACGGCCCCTATCTCATCAAATTAGGAAGTTTGAGAGTACTGCAAGGTTTGGCGTGCGTTGTAATTATTAATTTCGGCAAATTGAAAAAAACAAAATCTGATATTGGCACTTTGAATTTTTCCCCGGTTTTAAAGTCTAAAAATTAAACAAAATTAATTTTGATTTTGTCTATGCCTGGTAAGGTCGATATTTGTGATATGTTAATGTGAATTGGCTTATTTTTTATATGATATCACTACGATAGCATATTGGTATCAAATTTATATCATACTTGTTTTCCCTGGCACCATGTTATTAGACTTAAAATCGCGTGAGTCAGTGTGATATCATACCAAATTGGCATAACATCATACTGATTCAGCATGGAATCATGCTGATCGCCTTCACCAGGGATGTGAATAAACAAAATAAGCGGAATAAGTGAACTTTTTAAAAGCAATTACACTTCGTTTGCCTAGGGAAACGAATTTGACACAACTTTGTAACGTCCGATGGTCAGGATATTTTTTCTTGCTAATTTTATTTCTTATGTATTTTCCTTTTAGCTCATGACAACTTCATGACGGGGGACCGATCCCAAAAAAATCGAAAATCGAGTTTTCCAAAAGACTAAACCACACACTTATAGACTCACGTGTACACGGCATTTGACATCAAATCAGTGGATACAACTATTTGAACTCGACGGATGGTCGTGTTGCCTACACATTGATTTGAAGGCACGCCGGCTTCGTTTATAAGCCCACAGTTTTGGCGCACCAGCGCGGCGCGGCACAGCACGCTGCAATCGGTCGCTGATAACCCATAGATTTGATGATCCGTAATCCTACTGTAATCTGATGTACAATATTTTTATAAAATTTTCTTTTAAGCTTCTGCTTCACTTGGAATTTCCTCAGTTGGCAACGTTTAAGACGGGAGGTGGGACAACGTTGGTGGGCAAGTTTGAATTTTCTACACTTTACACCCGCTTCGAGTGGACGAGACCGCAGACGTCTTGGAGGTCTCGAACGGCACGAGCTTTCCATTTTCACACGCGAGCAAATTGTCTATGTCTACGTCTCCACGTACACCCGGTGTCCTCTCTTCCTTTCTATCGATCAATACTTGTCAAAGGCACCTATCTCAGAGAGCCGCTTTCCTTACAACTCAGTTGACGAACGATTTAAGTTTAAAAATTCTCTTTAAATTACCTAATCAAAGTCGAATGGACCTATTGCAAGTGTGGGGGATTTGCAATTCAAGTACTTTCTCTTACGTAAAATTTTGCGAGAAACGCGATGGTGCCGCTGGTTATCTCTGAGACAAACTCTGAAACTCAAAAAAAGTTCTCTAAGTTGAAACCGCAGTAGAGAAGATATTCCACGCTATGTCCTGAGAGTCCACCTCTATGTCAAGTCAAACCCTCCATGCAAATTGATAGGGGGTAAACATTTAAAGGGTTGCCAGTTTGTGAAGGGATTCAAAAACTGAAAACACGGCAACCCTGCTAATGTTTTGTTTTTAATCTTTGCATGGAGTGTTTGAATTGATATAGACTTTACTCTCAGGGTACCGTGCGTATTTCCTCCATTACAGCCTTAACTTTGAGAGCTTTTTGTGAGTTTTAGAGTTTGTTTAAGAGAAAACCAGTTGAACCATCGTGTTTCTCGCAAAATTTTACGTACGTCTTCATAATTTTACACCTACGAAGACAAGGATTTACGAAAATAATTAACATAAATGATTAGGGCACTAGTCACTTTTTAATAAACACGACAATATTTGCAGTTAATCTGCCTTCACGATTATATCACCTATGATGAGTTGCAAGACTTAATAATAATATTACGTATTGGAATGGGAGAAGGGAACATTAACTCGATTAAAAAAATAACGTATTCTCTATACACGAGGAAACAAAAGAGGAAAATAAGAAGTGGAGACAGAAGAATAAAAAAGGTAGAAATCCAATTTGAAAAATTGATGACAAATTATTTACATGTTTCTTTAAAAATCGGTGCGCAAATTTAGTTAGGAAAAGTATTTATCAACTGTAACTTTACAACCGCCTAAGATGCTGAATGTCTTTAAATAAATTGATTAACTAACTAACTAACTTGTCTCATAGGAAACGTATAGTTTCAAACTCTTAATCGCTTTTTCACGCTGTCGAGAGGATGTTTGCTTCGGGAACGGAAAACAATTGAAATTGAGAAATAAGGAAGAAAAACTTTAATATATGGTAAGTTGGCTTATGGAGCCTTCTAAGATAGCGAAGAGATATCCAACCTATATGCTCTCGTCAAAACACGTTCAAAATCTCTTTAAAGTCCATACGCGCCACTACGATTCGAGAAAATAAAAAAAAGACGACACGCACCCTCAACGATTACAATAAGAAAAAAATAAGCAACAATACGAAAAGACATTAGGGAAACCAGTAATTTTCATTGAACCGGAAACGACACACGTATCTGAAGGGTCAAACGGAAAAAAAAAATTAAAACTTTTTTTTTATTGCATCAATAAATTCTATCTATCTATACGAAAAGCCATTAGGAAAACCAGTAATTTTCATTGAACCGAAAACGAAGACACGTATCTGGAGGGTCAAACGGGTCAAAACTTTGGGGTCAAACAGGACATACACACCTTAAACGCACACATGATGTCGGACGAGGAGACGGTAATCCCTTGATCAAAACTCACGAATGAAGAGGTTCCAAGAATGATAACAGGCTTATATATGGAGAAGCCTCAAAACAGAAATAAATAAGCCCGCCCGGCGCCCATAAATTACGAGACATAAAAATTTGAATGATCTATGAAGAGAGGCGATAATTAGGAATCGATATTTTGAGCGGGGGATCCGCACCGCACAGGGGACCGAGTCAAGTGCAGAGGTCAGAACTGTTGTCGAAACTTCAAATGCCTATTAAATAATATTTTTTCGGGTTTAAATGTAGTTTCATTGGTTTTTTTGAAAAATTTTCTGAAAGGAACACCTCTAAAAGTATGTAATACGACGGAAAAAACATCAAAATTTGCGATTATGGTCGGAAATGTCAAGTTCGACTTCTTCCGATAACTTGCTCCATTGTGCGCCGACCGGTTAGTCATTGAATGAGGATGTGGGCATCAGGGGTTCCGAATATTTGCACCGTGACAAACAGCCGGCGATTTTGGCGCCGTTGACAAGTTACAGGCTAAGATAAAATGACGACGGTGTAAGTTGTTCATCCGACATACATCGTGTACTAACAACCGCATTTCGCGGTCATGACAGTTTTTTAAATACAAAATACAAATTTTCTAATTACTTTCACCGAGTTATAATTATCAACATCAAGAAATTTCGAGGGCTTAAATTGAAAACGATTTCATGGACTTTCAGGGATTTATGAAAAAGTAGACATTTAGGAATGTCAAAAATATGAAAAAGGAGCAGAAATTTTCAAAGACCGTATTAGAGGTCCATAGTTAGCGTATTTTTGCCTTTGCTGTGGTTATGAAGGACCGGCGCAGCTCTGTGCGCAACATGCGCTTTTTAGTGCGGGCAAGGAAATCTGAGGCGCCTTCAAGTTTTTTTATGCAACAAGCGCATCCATCGATCATGAATAGTTGTATCCAGGCGCTGTGATGAACTCTTCCTCTTTGCGTGCATCCATTGTCTATGAAAATAAGGGAAATGAAGAAAAATTCGATGGTGAAGGCGAAATTACCGAAGTGCATACCTCGATTTGGGACGTTGCAAATCTAATGTGACATTTTTACTTTCAAGAGAATGCTTGATCAACGTTTCTGCACAACATTTCGTTTGAATTTCCTTCATTTTTCTAACATTATTCTCTAGAGATTTCGCACAAAAAAGTGTGGCCGTACTTTCTTGAAAGAATGAAAAACAAGTGACAATTTTCATAGACCGCATCAGAGATCCTTGATTTGGTAGTTTTACCGTAGCATTTTTCTTTGCTCTAATTATAGCGCAGCAGTAATGAAGAATGGGCAGAAAAAATGAATCCCATCAATATTTCAAGGCAAGAACACCTTAAAATACAAAGTGGTAGTAAAATGGAGTAGTAATGGTAGTAAAATGGAGGACGGTTTTCGTAATTTCGCTGACTAGTGACTTTTAAATTTTAAATTTTATTTCATTTTAAACGTGACCTAGTCTGGTACTTTTTAAATTTTTTAAATATTTAAATACCTTAAAATACAGTTCCATGAAATTCAGAACACTTTAAATATCCAAAATCAAAAGTTTTCCTCACAATGTTCCTTTTGTTCTTTCAATCAGGCTAGTTTTACCAGAAACATCCCTCCTCATTCGATTGAAAAAAAAAAATTTGCCTAATTCTCCTGACTTGGAACGAAACGGCGGGTGGGATTGTGGGAAGGCGGCGATAGACAGAAAGTCGAAACGCGTTCACTGTTTTGAATAGGCAACGCACACAGTCACTGAGCACGTATAGTTGCATCCAGGCGCCGTTTCTTCGATCAGTAATTTACCATCGGGTTACCTTCTAATTTCAGATTAGAACCAGAATTTCGGCCTACCACTTTTACCGTCAAAATAGCGAGAAGTTTGTAAAATTGGAAAAAACATTTTATAAATTTCACCAGAGCCGCGTTTAATATAGTGTTAAGATGTTTACCACAAATGTTTTTCATTTTTGTGGTACACCATTTTACTTGATATGTGTGCAATTGTCGCCTTCATAGCGCTTCCGTGCGCTCTGCGACACGCAACTGCCAATTGCGACGATATTACCAGAGTTTCCTAGGCAAATCGCTCTTCATTTTCTGTTGGATACCATTAATCTACGATTCGGCAGGGCATCCTCTGCGTTTTCAGTCACGAGAGTGGACCCGGTCCAGATCCTTTCTTAGGCAATCTACTACCTGGCATCATTTGCTCATACTGGAGGAGCTTTATATTTTGTTATTACATCAGTGCCTAAAGTGTGGAAGCACTGGTCTATTTCAGAGTTTCAACTTTCCCACTCCTTTTATTTTTCCGAAGAAAAACAAACCAACTTCACAGCTCAAAATGTATACAGGATATTCCGCTATCAAAGAGGAAAAATCATGGCAGTTTTCAGGACATTACGTTGTTTAGTTTTCCGGGAAAAAAATAAAGTATGACGGGAAGTCTGCAACGTTGCAAACGAAGATACGTTGTTTTGCACTTTGGCCATCGATATGTATAAACTATTTGGGAACTTTTCTTTATTACGGTATGAAACTAAAAACATTGTTTCCCTTTCCGTTCATGAAATTAGCAGAGAAGTTTGTATCAGACACACATTAAATTTTCGATGAAAAAATACTAGCTGGATGACAGAAAAATTATCAAAAGCCGTCTAAAAAACCATTACAGAAAAAAAACTAAAAATGTGTATTTTAAACATCCTAGTCTATGGGATGCAAAAAACACAGAAATAAACAAGGTGCCTCGGTCTATTTTCGTGAAAACACTTCCGGGGACGTGATGACGTCATTATGAGTAAGCAGGATGTTGGACTTGATGTTTAAAGCGGCACCAGCGCCTGTTACATTAATGGCGAGGAGCAACATTAAAGTTGAAGGTCCCAGGCAAGAGAATCACTTGTTTTTCGGGTCCAAGCTTGGCTTGGATCAGCTTCAAAGATCAGCTGATCAGAGTATTCTGATCTTTTCGTCGGCCGGAATTCGGAGTCAGTCTCCGACGCAAGTGTCGTAACAATCGTTTTTGAAACGGCGAGCCACCGCAATTGAGGTTCTCCGATTGGTTCATGCGACGATTCGCGTTCGATAATATGCTCGTTTCCGAGGGGTGCAAAAATGCGATGGATTCGTTCAACTGTGCAACTCTCGAACATGCGACACTTGGATTGAGATCAGTTTGAGAGGTGTCGTGAAATATGGGCCCATTCAATCCGCAGTTGCTAGGTCGAATTATAATGAAACGTTCACATGAGAATAAAATCTTGGTGGGGTCAGTCACGAGGGGTACAAAACCTACACTGGAAAAAAACACATTGGATCTAGAGTCCAGACTCTTGAAAACATTGACAAGAAAAAATACTCTTGATTCAATCAGATTTTTGCTTAAATCAAAAGGAAATCCGCTCAAATTAAGAGGCTTGGTTCTTGATTTAAGCAAAAATCCGATTGAAGCAAGAGTATTTTTTCTTTTCGATGTTTTTAAGAGTCTGGACTCTAGCGATCCAATGTGTTTTTTTTTCCAGTGTATTGCTCCCCAAGTGGGCGCCACTTGAGACGCCATAGTTCAAAGGGGCGCCAAAATGTCGCGCATTTTTTTCCATTTATTTAGCTATGCAAAGACTCTCATATGCGTCTTTCTCTTCCTTTTTCCCCTTCTTTTCCTTCGCTCTGTACTTCGTCTCTCTCCTTTTCTCCTTATATTTATCTTCTTCTTCTCCTTCATCGTCTCCTCTTCCTCTATATGAAGGATATACTTCTATGCTTTACTTAGAATACGAAAGTGAGTTAGAAATCTTTAAACCTTTAAACCTACTTAACGGACTACATTTTGCAATTAGGAACTACAATATTTGGCTAAGTTTAAAAATAACGTATGTACCATTAGCTTTCGTAAAAACATATGTTTCTTGACACATGAGTTAGAAATTGCAGCTCCTTCTTGCAGAAAGTAGTCCAAATGTCTTTTAGTTTTTCTTCTTGCTTGAAAATGGATGTAAGTTCACAATTTCCTATTACCTAGCCTAGTAGGGCACTCAAAATTCTTCCACCAACAAAATTACTTCAGAACCTTCAAACAGATAAGACTGACTGGTTCACTTTGAACACTCAAGATTTTTTTCTTTTTTTGTATACGATTTTCTTTCCAGTTTATATAGCTCTATTCTTCTTGAAACAGGAGGAAAATTACCCTTCCGCTCTTTTCTTTATGACGCATGATCCGGGTCAACTTTGACCGATATGACCATCGTGAGAAGAATAAATAACACCCATACTCTGATGTAACTCATGCTTAATTTTCTTGGAACTTACTGATAAAAAATCAACAACTTGAGGCACGAAACTAGTGACCGCGGCATTCAGAGTTACGAAAAATAATTAACATGAGCACGATTGATATGTTAATATCGAATGGTACTCCACGCTTATATGCTTCACAGCAAGAGAGGCAATTCTTTTTGGCACACGTCAACGTCTGGGTCCGTGCAAAGATTAAATAAACTACAATCCGCCTTTGTCACTCTTCAAGAACGTCCAATTTAACGTGGTGCAATTGGTGCATAGAGATCCTCTTGGAGATCTGTCTTTTGGTGGGAAATTCTAAATGGACTGCATTTTTCAACTTGGAATAAATTTTGGCTCTTCTGGAAAAACACTTATGTGCACAGGGAAACTAATCGCACATACGTCGTTTTTAACCGGGCTAGAATTCATAGTTCCTAATTGCAAAATGTAGTCCAAATGTTACCTTGTTTGTATTTCAATCAAAAAGCGTGAGAGCCAGAGAGGAGAGGGGGGGGGGTTCAAGTTGAAAAGGCAACACATTTAACCGTACTGGTCAGATAAAGCTGCTGGTTGGACCGATTAGGTCTCATTAGCATAAGACCTGGTTCGAGGTGCGAAACAAACTAGAAATAAGACAGTGCAGCTATGAAAATAATTAAAGCTGTAATCATGGAACAGTTGTAGGGTTGTAGCCGTCATCGTTTACATGTCTTATAACACCTAGGTGCATGCACATTAACATGTAATATGGCAGTAGCACCCGAGATAGTGGTCACCCTGCAAGCGCGCTCG